ATGTGGGTGATGAGAGCCTGTGTGATACTATATCTTTCAAATATATTTATGGCAATTTTGGAAAACAAAACCACACAGAAAAAAGAAGGGGGTTTTGGACACCGCCTCCTTCCAACATGCAGATGGCTTTGGTGTCTAGGGGTGAAAAAAACCCATTATAGTACCTTTGCACAGATGTATCAGGCCAAGAAACCAGCCACAGCACCTCAGACATCAACACTGTTCAATCTCTGTCAATCATATTTCATCCATGAAGTATTTAATGCTTGAAAAGTTTGGCTCTCACCTCCCTGCATGCCAGCCCAACTCACCACAGCACTCTCATAACAGAGAGGACTCAGAGCTGGATCTCCTGGCTGGCTGCATGCATTGAAATGGGCTGGAATCCCAGGCATACATACCAGCAAACTTTTCTGGAAAGAGAAAACAGAGCTCCAGAAATCAGTAGTTTGTGCTAGTCTGTCACTAGTTTAATCCCATAATGTCTCTGGGAAACTGCAAAGAAGCTCTCATGCAGATGGCAGAAGACAAGGAGCCATATGACTTGCTCCAGTCCGGCCTATGGCAGGGCCATAAAAAGCCCAAAGGCTCTGAACTTGAGTCCTTAGTCTAGGCCACATTCTGCTGGAAGGCACAGCAGCTTGTTCCCATCAATTACCTCACCCTTATCCAGGAGAGTCTCATCAGAGAGACTCATCACAAGAGTAAGGAAGATCAGAGCTACGTTTTCTGCCTGACAAATGGCTCATTCTGCACCCAAATCCATCACATTATCACCTGTGCTTGTATCCCAGCACTGACCTCCCCTGCTTTTGCAGGGTTAGTTCAAACTAGATTTGCTCAGTATTTGCAAGGTTTTTTGGACTGGTGGTGGTGCAGACTGCGTGTCAAGAAGCGAGCTCAGAAGGACCTTACATGCCACGGGTCAGGAGCCCAGGTGGAACCTCGTGGGAGCCAGAGTGCCAAAAAATCTGTTTATGTCTGAGGCAGTAACATTCTTGCAGGCCAGGGCAGAAATCCAGTATAAAAAGTCAAACTGCTTCAGAACAGCCCTACGGTGGTGAAGGAAGTCTTCTGCTCAATGATGCCACCCTTCCACAAAGAAGGATTTATTTCAAGCTGTGAATTTTGGGAAACTTCCCTGACACTGGTGAAGTTTGCCAACATATAAACCATGTAAGGAACGGAGGTTTCAGAATGGTATTTCTGTATTTGAATTTACCACAGACAGCTGAAGCTACTGAATATCACAGTGCTCTTCCAGAAAGGTTAGTGCTAAAATGAAAAGAAATGTACCATATGCAGGAGCTGCAGTATCACATCACAATTTTTCCTTTGTTTCCTATCAGTTCAGCTCATCTAACTTTTCTTTTCAGCATTAGTGGATATAATTATTCTCTATAACAGAAGCCTAATACAAAGAGGAACGCACTACATTCTTATTGTTTTTCAGTGAGATGCATGAAATAAAGATCTTAAAACTTACTCTTGAAAAGTTACATTTTGTCACTTTTATGGTCAATCATCCTGCAACTGTTTCAGTTCTGCTTCTTAAATTAAGTGCAAAGAAAGGTATTTTCCTTGATTACATCTGCAAATAAGATATTAATGTCAATTCAGTGATATGAAAATTACTCCCTCACTATGTAATTTGCACCTTAGTTATTATGGGTTTCATGAACAAGACTATTATAGCTGCTCAGAATGCCATGGATTTCTAATTTTTTGATTTGTTTTTAATTAACAAAAGTAAAAAAAAACAAAGAAACCCTAAAGCCATGATCATGTAAAAAAAAAAAAAAAGATTATCTGTGCCCAGGTTTTATTTACCTTGGGATATATATTGATTCTGGACTGAAAATGAAAATGCTGCTCCTGGCCCAGCACTCTACTGCCATGAATTTCACAGAGGCAAGTTAAAAGTGGCTGGGATGAAAATGGAAGAGAAAAAAAATTGCCTGCTTTCTGGAATGGCATAGTGAAGGGTTTAATACCCTCTTTAGCTTTTTTAGGATGAAAATTGAGCATGTATTTAGGATTATATTTTTGCTGTTGTTGAAACAAGACCTGATTTTTTAAATTGAAAAATACAGATCACATGTGTTAACATCAGAGAAATGTGTATCATCCCAAAGCCTGATTCAATCCCTGTTACTGCTGAAGGAAAATCCTCCCACTGTAATAACAGGAGGTGGAAAAAGACTTTATTGCTTGAATGTCTACCCAGAGACCAACACTCCCAGTGGTCTCACTAGAAAGGGTTGTATGAGAGAGTGGCATAAGATTTTTTTGAGCATCGCTTTGCACTGCAGTTCTATGTAGTCATTTTTATCTTTTTATAACCACTGGGATTTCAGAAATGTGTTTCCAGCCCCACATCCCTTCAATATCTTCTCAAGGGATGTGACTGGCTTATGCTTCTGGTAAATCAAAAGCATGTTGTGTGTGTGTAGTGTGTAGTGTGTAGTGTGTGTGTAGTGTGTGCAAGCTCTCATCTTTCTGTGATTGCTCATACATTGTGAATTGGAAGCATCACTACTGAATAAACTTATGCTATAGCTAAGTAGACTTTCATGAGTAAAAGAAAAACACAATTGAACTGGAAGGGAATGGAGACAAGCAAGGGCCTAAGAAATGACCAGTCTGTGTCCCAAGGATACAAGATCACACTTACACTCAGGTGCGGTACAGTTGCAGTTGCACTGTTTGTGTTAATGCTGGGTCTGCTCTCACACCTTCTAGGACAGTGGAGCTACTTCTGCTGGTGACACAGATCCCATTAAAATCATCAGCAGACATTGAAGTCCCATGACTTCAGTGAGAGCTGCTCAGGTTCTCAAAATAACTTGGGAGAAATGACTACTTCACCATCCTTGACCCTCTACCTTCATGTACTTCTCAACAAACAGGAATCAAACACAGAAGCATAGTAAGGACCATGTTCAGACCTCCTTATACAGGCAGGTAACTTAGGTGCTGTGACCCTTAACTCCATGAGCTGCAGATAGAGCAGCTGCTGTGACTCACTCACTGCCCTCCTGGACAGTTGTGTCTAAATTAGGTGCCTGTCATGGGCACTCTGAACATGGCCTCTCAAACTGCCCTCTTGTTCCAAGGCCTTCCAGTTTTACTTTTTTTTTCTTTTTTTTTTTTTTTCCTTTTTTTCAATAACAGAGATTCAGACCCTAGGCTGGAAAGAAATCATGCAAAGCTTGTGCAATATCCCCCAATGGGCATCCTGGGGAGGGTCACAGTTGATACTCAGAGATCAGTGCTGGCCTTGGCAGTCAGAGCCTGGATCCGAGCAGAATTGCAGGTCTTGCAGAGGATGTGCCCGTCCAGAGGGTAACAGCCCTGATTGTCCCCTTCAGACAGGAGGCCACCACAGTCCTGGAAAATAAGTGAACAGGAAGAGCAAAGTAAATAAGAAACAACAAGATTAAGCAAAGAATCTATTAGTCAAAGAAATTCTCTCCTCACTCTCCACCTTGTAACAGGATCCAGCCTGAGTCAGTGCAAGCATGAAGCTGAGGTACGTGATGTCTTTTACGATTAAGCCATTTCCTGATAAGAGACAATGCTGCAGAGAAGATGGGTTCCCAAGCTCTCTGCTGAAAATTTAATCCAATTGAAAATAAAAGGAGATTATTCCCTTCACATTTTGGAGGAAGCAAAGGTCTTTAGCATTGGAGAAACATCAAACTGAAGCACATATTTATTAATTCAAAAAAAGGACAAAAAAGAAGCATCACTGGGAAAAAGTTCAGTACGAATATCTGACTATAGGTAATCTCCTTTGAAAGAGTTAATGCCATGAAGTTACAGCCCCCATTTCGGGGGTGGCAGCTAAGCAAAGTCCCTGCCTGCCTCCCCTTACCAGAACTGTCACCTCTGTTTCTATTACAATTGGTCAAAAAGGTTGTGGCAAAAAGGAGGATGTCAGACAGGAACATGGAAACCCCCAAACAAGGCCCCCAAACCTGCTCCAGAGAGGTCATCCTATAAGCTTTAAGGCTGAGTATAGCTGCTAGGAATGTTGGGAATTATCCCACACTTTGTGTTCAAGCAATTCCTTGGCCCAGGACAGCTGATGGATCCATGTGTGTGAAACCCTGGGTATCTCAGCAACCAGCATGGGGACATGCTGTATGATGAATTACGCTCTACAAAATTTAGTGCAAGAATGCCCTAGCATCTTAAAAAATAATGGGCCTAAGTAATGGACTGATATGTACCCTGAAAGCCAAGGTCAGATTGAGAATTGAACCAGATGCCTCAAGTTTCAGCCTAGACCTTTAAACCTTAGTCCATCCTTCTTTCCAATTAAGGTTATTAAAACCTGCAACTGCAATAAGAAATATATTTGGTCTCATTTTCTTACCCTGCCATCTGGCTGATGTATTATCCAACAAGTAACACTAGCACTGAAGAATTCTTGAAGGTTCCCTAACACAGCTGTTCCCACATGCTAATTGCTTTAAGGTGATTTTTATTCTCTGTCTTCAGACTGTTACCATCAAAATTACATGAAGTGTGTAATGAAACTGAACAGGAAAAGTAGCATAAAAAGCACTGCACAAAACAAGAATGATCATGTTTATGTGTCCATTAAAATTCTTCAACCCAGAGCCGTATGCTGAGTTTCCTGTACAATCTTGCTCAAATCCTAACATGCATTAGCTTTCATTTTAAGAACATAAAGATGAGCTACATTTGTGTCCAGCTATAATTTATGAAGTTCTCCAGTATTAAGACCTAATTGCCTGAGTCACATTCTTTTGCTCTTCTAATGAACTTGTTATAAACAAGGGACCTGAGTTTCCTCTCATTTGCGCAGATATAAATGAGGAAAAATTCCTTGCTTGCTAAGTCAATGAAGTAACTTGATTGTAGAGCCAGTGTTACAATAGGGTGTGCCTGTCATGTGGGCAGTGTGAGGTGGTGATGAAGTGAAGCCAACCCTTGCTTTCTGTCCCTGCTGTCCCTGCAATACCAACCTGTTAACGGTAGCACTGGACATGGAAGTCACGATCCAGGGCAACAATGCGCACGGTCTCCTCTTGTCCCGGGGCTGGCATGATGGGCTCCTTACACACAGAACACCTCGGGGCAAATTTCCTGAGGGAGCAAGAGACAGAGACAGTCATCCTCAAACTTGGAGCAAAAGTTTTGTTAACTGGATGAGCCAGGCAGAAATGTGTGAATTTGAACCAACACACACACACATATGCGCACAAACAACACAGGCTGGAGCTCTGCACAGCTCCTTCCTTGGAAAAATAACCAGGCAGGAGCACTTTAGTCTTACAAGGCAATTTCAGGCAGGTAGGATATTAAAGAACATTTATTAGAAGAGGACTTACAGAACTTCTGACAGGCAGCAAAGCATTTGGCCTGCCCCAATTAACAACTGAAATGCCTCTTGAATGACCCTCGATTGTGACATCTATGCACTGCCACAACCCTCAGCCTCTAAGAAAATCCATGCAAATCCCATGGTTAGAAAGATGACCAGGTTCTACTTCAAGAGCATCTCTTGAAAATAAAAATCAAACTTAAAATTTGGAGATTGGAACAAATAGTTTAAAAGTCTGAAAAGAAATGGTAAAAAGAACTGCCTTGCACTAACACCAATTTGTTGAGGTTTATGTCACCCACTTTAAACGTTCAAGCCATCTTACCCACTTATGCACACAGAAGCACATTTCTGGCTGTGTTCACTCTCAGACAAGAAGCATCAGGGCAATTCAGACTTGCTGCATTTTCTAGCTAAAACCTACTCAGTTATCCAATGGGGTGTTGTCCAGGCTTAAAAGAGAGCAGGTCTGGGTGCACAGACCCCAATGTTCTCTCTTCCAGCCAGCCTGACTTCCAATTGTATAGTGACAATAACTCACTGCATGAAGAGACTGACTTGAATCAGGGTCAGCTCAGGGATCAAGAGAAGCACAGCCCTTTCTTTTTCCCTTCTATTGCTCATCATATACCCTTCTGGATAATTCACCCATGTTCTGTATTCCCTCTGGTTTTGCTCCCCTCAGGTCCCAAGAGAAGTGGCCACCTCTGCTCCTAGGCTTGGGAACATTTAGCCTCTGGTGAATCATTCTCTATTTTAGTTCAAAACCTACTGGTACCAGTTTCCTAGGTGCAAATTCTGCCTGCAAAAAAGGAAACTTACACCCACAGAATCTGCTGCCATGTAATGAGAGCCAGGGTCAGGGGCTGTGGAGTGACAGAGGGCAAAGCTTATGGCAAACATCAGAACACAAGGAGATCAAAGGCCCTTCTCTTCTAAAATGCCTAGTAAGGACTGACTCTGCCACCCAGCCTGTCACATGAACCACCTCAGAATTAACTATCTTAGAAAAGAAAAAAAATAAAATCTATCTGTACTAGGAATAAAGAAAAATATTAATTTCACTGGCAGCAGATGAAAGATGACTGTGTAGCTGTGATCTAATGAAAGAATGAATTAAACAGTGGCTATAACGAGTGCTCTGAAAAATAACTTAAATGGATCATGATGTGACCAGAGCTGTGATGGCAATTAATTATGTGCTGCTTCATGCAGGCCCTTCCTTGTGCCATTTAGCTCAAACGTGGTACTTAAAAAATACTTTAACATTTCTTTGTCCAGGCTACTGTGAGTAATTCATTATGAGACAAATATTATCTCCCAGGATCCTGAGATCATTCCTGCAGATTTCAGGGGATGTAGATCTGTTACTGTGGGGCCTGAGCTCAGGGAGTAGCTGAGTAACAGTGTGAGCATCACCTACAGTTTTGTTATCAAGAGGATGTAGATGTAGAACACTCAACCTCCACATCAGGAGGACATGTCATCCCTAATCAATTAAAACTGGGCTGGCCAAAGTACTGCAAAATGTGTGGTTGGCCAAAGACATTCTGAGTGTCACACTGGGTCTTGTGCTATTCCCATCACCTTCCCCTCAATCCTTCACTCAACAATTTTTATGTCCTTCCCTGCATTGACAGCCTCCCACTTTCTACTCTCAGAGCCCTGAGGTCGGTATGCAGTCATTGCTGCTAAAATGCTTCAATGTGGGACATCAGCTCTCTTTCTCCTGAAAGCATGTGAGCCCTGTCTGTGGGGCTTTGGGAAGGGGCACTCTCCAAATTGTTGTGAGGGAAGTCCTTCTGACTAAGTGGTGCATCAAACTCCTGTTGGGCCTGTGCTCAGGACCACATTTTACCTTACACACACAAAAAGGCAAAGCAGAAAGGCAAAGCAACACAGCAGCTGCCAATTAACCCAGCCTAGCTGGGCTACAGGGAACATCCTCCTGTTGGATTCTAACATGCCAGTTAATTGTGCCTGCTTCCCTTTCTGTCAAGTCAGTCAGCTTCTTTGAGCTTTCAGACCCACACACTGATGTCATGGGGTTCTAATTAAGTCTACCCGCTTAGAAATTAAGAGGTAAATGGTTGAGATATAAACTCGCATTTGTCAGTATTGATTTCATCTTTTAATTGAGGGGTGTAATGTATCTGTCTTTTCCATACAGGGCAAACATTTGTGCTCTGATTATATCTACCTGTCTTCCCTAGATTAGTTGTGATGATGGGGGTGGTAGTATGTCAGTGACAGAAATTACTTGCAGCTATACCTTTCAACTTACTTTAAATAGCAGTTTCACTATAAATTATTACCAGGGCTGTATTTTTAGTAGCTTTAAAAAGCTAATTAGCAACTAGAAACAAAAGGAGCTGTGAGCAGCCTGTGGCCACTAAGATCCCTCTAGCAGGTAAGCAAACACCTGCAGAGTGCAGGAGGACAGGACCTCTCTTAATTGCTCAGTGGAAGAGGCAGGGAGGTGGTGATGTGAAAGTGCAGGTAGAGGCAGTGAAGAGAAACAAGCCCATGCACAGTGAAAGGCAAGGGGAAGGCAGAACACTTAAAACAGAGGGACACAGAGGTTATCCCTCAATTCAGCTCTAAGCAAAACAGAGATCAAGCAGAATCATCCCCTAACCAATTAACCTTGTATGCCACGACGTGCCTGCTTGGAGCAAAGCTCTCCCTACTATTTAAGAGCCTTGGGAGGAAGTGGCATAGGGTTCAGAATTTCCTGAAAGCTCAGTCTGAAAAAAGGAGAGTTTTTAGAGGCAAAAGACAAAAACAACAAGCAAAGCACTGACAGCAGCTTAGGCCTTACTTATGGAAATCCTCAATGCAGTGGATGTTGCCACCAGCATCCACAGTGAAGGGGATCCCATCCAGGCTGCGATGGCACATCACACAGGTGAAGCAGTGGGGATGGTAGGCCTTCCCAGTGGCTCGGAGGATCCTTTCCATGATGGGCTTTGCACAGACACTGCACTGCTCCAGTGTATTCTGCAAAGAAAACATACACAACACATGTGAGCACCATCTCAGCAGGACACTTAAAAAGGTCAGCTGGGTTGGAGGCTGCTGCTGGTCTGCTTGGAAGCTTTAGGTACCTTCTTTTCATTTCTTCTAGATAAAGTGCAGTACAGTCAACAGTTATCAAAGAGTGTGATAACAGCACAGGGAGCACAGGGCCTGGGTCAAGCCTTTAGAACAGTGTGAGAACACAAACCAGAGCCTTCTCTCAGCAGCTCTGACAAGTAATCAGAGATGGCTCATCAGGTGGGTTATCTGAGACATAGCAGCTTCTGTAGCCAGGAGCACATGAAGGAGTTGTGCAGCCAAAACTCCTGGGCTTTTGCCTCTACACTACCCAGTCAGAGTGAGCTTTTGCAGCAGAATTCATTAGAGACAATTTCCACAAAGGGCAGTGCTAAACTGAAGTGCAAACTCCTGGGGCTTCACAGACACCCCCTAATTACTTTGCCAATGCAGATCCCATAAAAATATCTTTTTCTGCTTTGTACAAACATCTTGATCTTCCTCTCTCACCACAGAGAATACTGCTAAGTCTGGGGAGAGAACAAAGCTGTGGCTGCAAGGAAAGCATCCGCAAGCTCAGGATGACTTAAATGCTTCATTTATCTCTGGCCAATGATGTTTGAGATAATGACTGTGAAATGCCAGCTCTGAGGCCATGATCCTTGCTGCACAGGTTTTACATACTAGCCTGTTCCTGAAGTGCTGGAGTCAAAAAAATTCCCATTTTTCAAGTGGGGTCCATTGAATGATTCATCTCATTTCAACCCTCACTTATCCTTGCAGTTAATTATAGAAACACCAAGATAATTTCAATGGTTGTCTGTGAGCCACACCAGCCCTTCTGACACCAACTGGGTAACTCACCATTTCAAATCAAGCACTTTAAAAGACACATGCCATGAATGGATGGTGCAAACCACATAGATACAAACAATAAATCTGATTCGGGTAATTTCACTGGACTTTACAAAAGCAAACTTCATCTAGTATTCTTGCTTGATGGACTTGAAGTTATCAAATAATGTTATCATTCAGTGTTTGCATCTTGGGTGAGGTAGAAAAATCTATCATTACACTATTGATTATTTTTTAGATAGACAGAAATAAGGGGGTGGGAAAATAAAGGAAAAAATCTAACAGGACAGAAATATAGAAAGCTGCTGAAAGGCAGATCTTGTTGACAAACACAGGAAGGCTAAAGTTCTGCTTCCTCGTGCAACAAAATTCCCAGAGAAAGTAGTGCTTTGACTGAATTCATTGTTATTTCTTCTTTGAGCCAGTATTCTCAGGGGCAAGATCCACTCTTTACATGTGCAACTGGAATGTATTGTAAGGAGATGAATCACCCAGGAACTCAGAAGGTTCTTCACTCTCATATTTGCTCTCAGGCATTATCTCTGGGCTGCACGTCACTGGTAAGGTACAAACATAGAAATACATGAGTTCCTATCAGAGGATCAGAAGGATTGTTTTTGGAAAGGTCGATATGAAAAGTCCTGAATTTCAACCCGTATGAGAACTGCCTCATGCATTTGTAAGGAGAGCACAGCCAGACTAGCATCAAATACAGGCTGGATTTTGCTTTATACCTTGTAATAATGGGCAGGAAAGAATGACTGCTGGCCTTTCTGTCTGGTTGCTGTCACCATCATCATCATTATAACAGTGGCTGGCATGCCAGAAAAAGCAAGGTCAATAATTTTCTCCATGGAGAAATAACCTGGCAGATTTACCATTTTGCTTTGCATAAGCAGATCACATCATCTCAGTCCGCATCCATGCGGTTCTCTGTGTTTTTTCTGCCAAGGAGGGAAGGCAGGATACCTGCGGATACTGATGGAAGATTGTGCCATTCATTAAGCACTTGCCATGAAACTTTCTGAACACACACAGGTATGGAGCATTTGCCTCACCAAGTCACTGCTTGCCTCATTTCCAACAGTTGCCAACAACAAAGGCCAAAGTATGAGAACAGGGTAAGCAAAACAGAAATTCCTTGGGATTTGCTTCCAGTCTCCACTGATTACTGGTTTAGGCACTTCCTGAGTCAGAGCTTGGCTTCCCCATACTTCGCCTCAAGTGGCTGCTTCTCCCATAAACCTTCCTGACCGATTTTTGAATTCTGATAAATACCGATCCCCCACAACATGACTGGGAATTCCATGGCTTCCTTCCATAGGGGACTGGTCTGTTCAGCAGTTCCCCATGTCTGCTATTGAAGCCCACCCAGGACTGTGAGCAGAGCAGGCACCTGCAGCAGCAATCCACGCTGCAGAGGGGTCCACCACCAAACAGCGCGGCCCGGAACTGCTCTCACCATGGATCTGATGTAACTCCCGCTCACACATTTCGGGCACACAGACTTTAAGCCCACAAGGGATCACTACAACCACCCTGTCTGACATCCCATGTTAACACTGATTTTGGTAGAAACTTCACAGTGACCAGGAGGCAATCACCCTGCTGCATCGTACCTTCTGAAAACACCCATCTACTGCTCCCAAATCTCAGCTTGGTCATAGTTTGACATTCTCACAGCTAAGTAAGACAAGCATTATAAATTAACCAACTCCTGATTAAGCCTTCTATACAACCTGAAAATCAGACCTGAGAAATTTATTCTTTTCATCCTTCCAAGTCTGTACCAGTAAGGAAAAACAAAGTCATTAGTTTCAGACTCCAGCTCACTCCCTGTCTGGGAGTGTATTTGCTTAAGCCTCTCTCCTTGCTAGAACCCTGGCTGGCTCAGACCCTTCCCTTCAAGGTGTTACCAGATGATGCCAAAGGGAAAGCTTCCTTGATTCACACCCATTTGACACCAGGTTGCTGTAAGGCAGGATTTGGCCTGTGAAGCTACCAGGTTTTCTTTGATTCTCTAATCAGGTTATCCCACATGCCTAAGTGCTGCCCCAGCAGCTAACAACCTGCACAAAGGTATTTCTGCACATTATGGGAACAGCATCCCTGTAGGATTACTAAGTTTGGCTTCTTGATTTTGCTCTCTTTCATAGTCAGTCTAACTCTCCTAGCTCCTCCTGCAGCTTTCAGACCTCCAAAAAGCAAAACAAGAAAAATGCCTAACAGGTCTATTTTCCTTCTTTTCTCTCCAGCTGTTGTTGCAAGCCTGCTCTGTAATCAACAGGTAGAGCTGAATGCATCTGATGAGCTACACTGAGAGCTAAGGCAAGGCACAAAGAAGAAAGATGAGAAAAGCTAGGAAACATCAGACCTAGGGGTTGTGGTCACATTCATGTCATAAGAATACAGACCACAAATCTAGTGTGGGTTGAGGGTAAAGTTTACCATTCTTTTCCCATATTTTTGGCCAAGAGGCAGGGAGTGCCCTTGTGTCTCCAAATCCAACTAATTTCTTGGGGTTTGAAAAGCATAGGGAAGGAGCCATCCATTTCCAAATGGAAGGTTGGCACAATGTTTAAGGCTGACTCTGGGTCCATATCTCTTGAGAGCAGAACATCCATGGCAAAGAAAAAAAATCTCACATGGGAACAATAATGCACCCTAAACACCAAAAAGAAAAATAACCCCAAGCAAAGATACACTAAAACACAAAGAAAGAACTGTAATGACCAGGACATCATAATCATCTTGCAAGTTAAAATTAAGAGACTTAAACATGTATAAGTGGGAAAGTGGCAAAGACAATCAGTGTGGCAAAGTGGGAACAAGCTGCTTGGGAGCAAGCATCTAGCAAGTGGTGCTTGGAGTTGACCTCCCTAGAGCAATACTTGCCTCTTCAGAAGCCACAGAAAGCCAAAGGGAGTTGCTCTGTAGATTTTAGGTTTAAACATGGGACACAAAGTAAAAATTCTGACTGCTGGGAAAGACTTCTGGGTTGCAAGAGCCACGAAGGCTGGAGCTGGGGAGTGTTTGAGTCTCCTCCTGAAAATTTCACATCCCAGATGGCAAGGGCAAGGTGGCAGAGCAGAGGTGCAGTGGCAGCCCATGGGCTGCACTCATCCCACTGCCCTAATACTGCATTATAACCCCTCCTAACCAAACCTGGGGGACAGCAGTAACTCACAATATCATGCCAGCAGAAGGACTCTCCCACAATGACCCAGCAATGAGTGCAGAAGAAAAGCCACACAGAGTAGTCATCGCTTCTTCTACATTGGCAATTCATCCCAAGCTCTAATGAACATAAATAATGTCTCCTGCAATCTGAACAGCAGACTGAGGAGAGCTCACGCACAGGGACATGAGCATGGTATTGCTTATTTTGCTGGGAGAGGGGAGGGAAGTTGCTGGAATAAATTACATTGGCAACTCATGCACAGGGACGCAAACTCACTTTCTGTAAGCACTGCAGAAGAAACACATTTTTCGAAGTGACTGAGCAGAGGAGATGGTTTTGAGCTGCACGAATGAAATGTGACTGTTGTGCTAAAAACAGGCACATGGTCAAATACTATAGTTGAACTGTAACTTAGTAAAGTGTGGTAAGTGACTTGCTTTAAATCTTGTGACTCTGTCCTTCATTTCCTCAGACAGCAAGGAGAGCAGAGCAGCAGACATTTTCCCTTTTGTGGGATATTTTTTGAGGTTTGAAAATGTTTCCATACTTAAGTGAAGACAGAACACTTTAATCTCAAGAAGCCTAGTGAATTTATAAACCTCAAATTAGATCAGGTCAATTGAAAAACTGCACTTCAAAATAATTGCAAATGGTTTCATTTAGGGTTTGGGTCTGAAAATATATAGCTGTATTATAAATTAAATATAAAGCAGACAGTGGTGGAGGGGTTAAGTGTCAAGATGTAATTTCAACACTTTCAAACACTTTTTTTGGCATTATTTCTAGAAAAGGAAAACCAAGGCTCCCCAGCTGCTATCTCCACAGATGGGTTAAATCTTGGCAAACATAACATTTAAGTCACTAATAGCCAGCATGAAATTCCTTTCTGCATGTCTGAGGAGACAACTTGGGCATGAGTTAATCCTTC